ACTTACGCAAGGTCGCCGATGGAGATGTCCGAATGATTTCTTCAACGATGAGATGATAGCGGAAGTGTTGACCTGTCAGGCGGAAGTTATTCGCGGTAAAGCAATGGGGTAAGTATAATTTTATTCAAAACAATTTCAAAACGAATCAAAATTGTACTACAGGATGGAAAGAAATCCCAAGAAAGATATTGCGACTGTTCTAAAAGGTATTAAATTAATCGATTGTACAGAGTGAACTTCAAGAGATATGAGAAGACGAATTTACCAAATTATGATTACCTGATGAATTCGAGTGTTTATAAGATGATTCATAAAATGGAGCGAGAACCGAAAAGGGGTATCCCCGTCAGACCCGCTAAAGTCAATGCGGCGGAAGATATAATCGAAAGAGTTGTAAGCCTCTCTTTGTAATCTTTCACGGCTGTCAATATAAATCGCTTAGGCAGAATGGAGGTGATGATAATTAATTGTGAAACCGTGACAACCAAAATATTTCTTAAGCGATTTTAAATGTGTTTACGGAAACATTTTAATGAAGTTGTTGGTAGCAGACATTGCCAATTAATCATTGTCATTCCTATATAATTGTGTTATTTGATCTTGTAAAAATTACACTTTATCTTATTTTAAATTAATTAGAAAACAGATTATCATCTGTTTTCTAATTAACAGATTAGAGAACAGATGATAATCTGTCTGTGAGTAAACAACTTCAAGTATTTAATCCGTAATAACTCAATCAAATTATAAAATTAAGTAAAATTATAAAATTAAGTATAATTTATAAGATTACTATCAATATTATTAACCAAGGGAAAAGGAAAATTTTATTCCTTAATATATTTTCAGAAATCACCGGCGTTGAGTGTGGACGACGGAAGCGCTCGAAGCGTCAGCCACTAATGCAACAGCGATTACAAATGATCAGAATATAATATGATAGTATACGCGAGAAATTTATATGTATTTGAAGGATGTGTTAAATCTACGTACATATATCTTAAAAATTCAAGGAACAACTAGAAATTGCTAGAAATGTAATTATCTGGCATGTTAATCGCGTCTGAAGAATGTTATCGCACTGTCATCAATATAATGTGGTTGTAATAATTCTAAGCACGTATACATATGTTTGTATTTAAACCGTCTCGAGAAAGATTTTCCCCGCAATAAAGAGATCTGCAGCCTTTTCCGATTAAATTTACATTCAGATCGATTAATTCAGAGAACATTTAACCCTGCCGAACTATTTGGATCTATTTGATCTAAAATATATTAATTTATTTTCTTACTAATTTTAAGTAAATTATTAGCAGGGATCACACCGATACCGACATACCACTCTGTTTTTAGACAATATTTCTTAAACAAAAGGTAAAAATACAACTTTAAAAACATAAATATAAACTAAAAAGTGTCTTCTATCAG